TACACCTTGTTATCTCAGATTCTCCAGCACTGGCAGTTCCTACTATCTCTTTTTCAGGCAGCTTGCTTTGCTAAGTTGGCACTGATCCCATGTTTCTCCAAACCTCAATCTTTCAGCAAGTACTGCTTATAGGCTTCCTTTGTTCTCTTCTCAGCTATCAAATTTCTCATGCAACTTCAATGAGCTGCCAGCTCACCAAAACCAACTGCAGCACTTTAACCTTATGAAGCCACCTTCTTTTGTTGCTCCTCTCTCTCCAACACAGACTCTGTGGCTTTCCACGATCTTCTTAGCTCCTCTACACCTCTTCCAAGACCTAATTGCCTGGAGACTGCTAACAACTGCATGTTAGGCTACCTCCCACAACTCCTAAGTTTCTGAATGATTAGCAGCCTGAAGGTAGCAAAAGCCTTCCCCTTTGACTTCCTCTGTCCAACTAAATGGGTCCCCTGGCTTCCTTTTGCATGGTCCTCAGTCCTATGGTCCCTTTTTTATATCAGTTTCCACAATGCAGGTGCATTGTTCCCTTTATGACCAGGTTCTTTACTGGCCAAAAAGATCAGCAGATCAAGTGAAACCTGTCATGCTGCATGCTCTGTGCATGAATTAGAACTCATGGCCTGCTGGGATATGGAGACTGACTTCTATTTTTCTCCAGTCCTGTGTGGGGCTTCTGCAAAACCTGACAGAACCTCAAACATTTAATGCTGCTGTTCAGAATAGTCCTCCTCATTGCTGGCTTGAGACAGCATTTGCATCCCAAGCTGTCTATGAGAGGGGTCTATTCTATATAGAGAAGAATTTGGACGAAGCTGTGCTCTGACAAGGACTCTCCATTGTTAAATACATCTTCACCACCTGTTCCTACTCATCTGTTGTGTTGATTCATCCTCTGATAAACCAATTAAATTTGATTGCACCAAGTAGTGTGCACAAGAGCTGGTAAAAGGTGCGTACATTGCACTATGGTTCATAAATAGTGTGAAGTATCTCCTCCTGAGTAGAATCTGTGAGAGATGGAAAACTTGAATCAGAACTGACAAGGTGACAGGCTGCTAAGTCATCTATCTTAGTCAATGAGTGAGTGAGTGTTGTTTTCCATGTAGCAGTGTAATGTATAATTCTGTCACCAGGTTGATTGGAAACCCTCACCTCTTCATATCCTATCGTCAGCAATGCTGGGAGTTGACTTATCTACAATATCTTCTCCTCCTCTAGAGCTGTCAAGATGGAATTAACTGTACAGTCATGCCTGATTTTCTGCCTGTCCCAGATATTCTGTGCTCTCTTCTGAAAATGAGGAAGAAGAGACTGATGAATGAGAAATGAAATATTGAGGTGATGAATGGTCTACTTCTACTCCAATTTTGTGTTTTTGTAGATCCAGGTCAATATTTATCCCTCAGTCTGCATCACAAAAACGGATTATCTACTCATTATTGCATTACTGCCTATGGGAGATGATGTGTATAAATGGGCTGCTACATTTCCCCCATTACCCTACAAGTTAAATATTCAAAAGGATGCTGATGTTGAGCAAGCAGATAGGGTTAAAAATCAAGCCTGCTAATTGGTTTAGTTATTTGGCTTGGGATTGGTGGGTTGTTACGTCTAAATGAACAACAAAAAACAACTTATATTAATAAATGTGAAATGTTCTACTTTATAGTCATATAAATGTTCTGAAGACTCTATGTTAATTTTATTTCTCTTGTGGATGCTAATAGACCTGCCAAGGTTCTCCAGCATTCTCTGTTTGTTTGAGATTTCCAGCATCTGCAGTACTTTGCTTCTATTATAGTAATATGTCGTCTTTAGGAACATTGGGACAGACATAGGCAATTTAGTCCCTCAAGCCTGTTCCAGCATTCAACCGGTTTATTGCTGATTCATGATATAACACCTGTGGAGAGACAAAAGAAAAATAGCAGATATTGATGTCGTTGTACAGAGAATCTAGCAACTGCATTGTTCACTCTAAGCCAAGAGGCTACGAAAGGTAAACATTTGGTTTTGTTATTGTAGACAATGCCTCCTTACAATGGTGAAATTATTATATTAATAAAGGGGTTATATTTATCTGTAGCAAAATAAATCTTCCTTATATTAATGCTCAATTCTTGAACATTTATGGTTGCCCAACCCAGCTAATTTCTGCTCTCCAGCAAGGCATGGAGTTTGTTGAAGGGGCTGAAAAACATTGGCTTTGGGCTTCTCAATCTTTTACTAAAGGAAATTGCTATTCATCCAGGAGTGAATGTTGAATGAACAATGTGACAATAGAGAGGTGAGGGCTTGAGACAGTTGGTGGTGAGATAGAGCTGAATAAGCCTCCATGAATTAGATCTATCATGAATCATTTGTTAAGCTTCATTTTAACATTTAAAGTCACGGCTGTGATTACCCATTTTCATGTAATTTTGTTTCAATTCTCTACTTTGAGTTTGCTGCTTTCAAAGCTTTATACTTTGCATACTTATTAACAGGCCTGCATTTTCCTAGTTATCTCTCAATTTTTTCGAATGTGCCCATCACATTGCTTACATGAGTGTCAACAGGACAATGCATTTTCAGTTACTCTTAACCCAAAAGTATTCAGACAGCAATGAAATGTTCCATAAGGATGCTTTCCTTCTCCAGAACTGACCACATGGAGTTTCTGTTCATGGAGCCATAGACTGAGAAAAAACACAAAAGTCTAAACAAAACTGTATGGCTCTGCTTCAAAATGATCATTCCTTCACAAGAAGGATGAATCAACGATGGATGGGACTCAGAGGGCAGCATGGTTGTACAGTGGTTAGCACTGCTGTCTCACAGCAGCAGGGACCTGGGTTTGAGGCCAGCCTTGGGTGATTATCTGTATGGAGTTTGCACGTCCTCCTCTTTTCTGCATGGGTTTCTGCCGGGTGCTCTGGTTTCCTCCCACAGTCCAAGGATATGCAGGTTAGGTGGATTGGCCATGCTAAATTGCACCATTGTGAGCATCCCAGGTGGATTAGTCAGGGTAAATCCAGGGGAAAGGATGCTCTTTGGAAGGTCAGTGCAGACTCAATGGGCCGAATGACCTCTTTCTACACTTTAGGGAATTCCATGAGAGTGGCCACAAATATATCCAATCTCCTTGATTTTTTTTCTCTCTAATTTTGTTATTCGGCGATAAAGAGCTGATTAATTAGTATCTGGCAACCTTCTTTTATACAAGTCTTTAATAAGTCTTAAGTTTATTTCTGATAGGTTCAGTTAGTCTACAGTGATATGGTTGGACACCTCAGTCCATTTAATGCATAACTGTTTCATGTGCAAAATCTGGGATATTTCTCAGGGTATGGAATGAGATGCCAGAGGAAGTGTTAGAGGCTGGTACGATTACGACATTTAAAAAGCATCTGGATGGGTACATGAAAAGGAAGGGTTTAGAGGGATAATGGCCAAATGCTGGCAAATGACACTAGATTTATTTAGGATATCTGCTCGGCATGGACGAGTTGGACCAACGGCTCTGTTTCTGTGCTGTACATCTCTATGATTGGATGAACACATCTTCAGGAAGTGTGGTCAGCTGAAGCAGCTCCAGCTCTGGGTTTCAGAGCTTGAGCAGCAGCTTATTTCTCTCCAGTACATCTGTGAAATTGGATTGTATGTTGCTGGAATATCACCATCCTGTAGCTTGGGTAGACAGGCAAAGAAGGAATGGTCAGGCGATCGAGTAGTACCAGAGTGCAGACTGCATCTTGCTTTCCAATCAGTATTCAAATCTGAATACTGATGAGAATAATAGTTGATCTGGGGCATGGTCAAGTCAAGGCCACACCACCAGAAGTAGCTCAAGGGCATGAAAGAAAATTGGGAGGCTGATACAGTCAGGGGTGTCAACACGAAATTGAATAGGCACCTGAAGATTTTAAAAAATGCAGCTCTATAGAAGGATAGGTGTGTCGTACAGGCTGAATGACTTCGCTCTGCATCATAACCATCCTGTTGATTTCATATTTATTTTGTACTACCAGACTTTTCTAGCAACACCGTATTCTCCCTCGTTCAGAGCTAAGTGAAAACAAAATTGTGCAGCTTTCATTGTACGGCAAGATAGTAACATCTATTTCACTCAGGTTGTATACGAGTGGCTGTAACCATTGCACCTGGCAGCAAAAAGCTGCTGTTGGTTCTTTCGCACAAGTTGGTGTCTGAATGACCAGCAGAGCTTGACACAGTGACACCAATTACCACAAAGAGAAGGATTGCTCTCCATCAGCAAACCCTCCTCCCAAACCCCTCCATACAAATCAATTCATTTATGAATCACACCCCTTCGTCTGGAACCTACATGAAATAAATGACAAAAATTGCTGGGAAAACTCAGCAGATCTAGCAACCTCTGTGGAGAGAGGGAAGTAAAATTAACATTTCGAGTCCAGCGACCCTTCTTGGGAGGTAAATTACCTTGATTTATGAAACGGCGAGAGCTTCCCTTCTCGAGGCGATTTAAAAAAAAACAAATCATGACGGTTGGAAAAGGTAGGCAGCCGATTCGTTTCATTTTTCTGGAAAAGAAAACCGTTGATCTGTTACTTCCCACTCGAATAATTTCAGTGAATTGATGTATTGGAATTGGTATACTTCAGGTCAGACAATGGAAAATGAAAATAAAGATGCGCACACACCTGAAGGCAGTATGTTTTCAGTTGTTGTTGTCTGTCCCGCTGCCCTCTGCCGGCCGTAGCCGGTTGCCGTAGTTACCACATACCGGTCGCAAGATGGCCGCCCCGGTAGCAGAGAGGCGCCTGAGTGCTGGCTGACGACTCGGTCCTTACAGCTTGCAACCACTGGGCGGACTTCCAGCATTTATTTCTCTCTACCCCCCCCAACCCACAACTTCCAATTTAAAAAAAAACTTGCAGCCTTTCTCTGTTTTGAAGACGACAGCAACAACTCGTCATGGCGTGCACTTTGTACCACTAGATTACCGACATGGAACCGTCCGAGCTGCAGCCGCCTCAAATGCAAAGGTAAAAGAGGGCGACGATTAGCGAGGAGAAAGAAGGGCCAAGCGTTTTGTGTACATTTAAGCGAAGGAGGTTTCGAGGGTTAACCGAGACGGGAAGGGTATGTGCAGGGCTGCAGACTGGGCCGCAAGCACCTTCTGCTAAATACTGCTCTCCCGGTGGCTAACGTTGGACCGCAGCCTCCGCACTTGCGCACAGCGACCCTCGCTGCTTCCTGCCACATAGTGCACTGAAAGCAAAAATTCTGCAGCTTTAAATTTGCACCGTGAAAACGGGGAAAACTCTGTCAACATAATTTTAACTTTTTGCATTGTGTAGAAAAGTGAACGAGGTCACCAATGCATACAGGTATATCGGTATAAGTTGTAGTTAATTGCAGGAAATTGTTGCAAATAAGCGAGTTTCGTTTGGGAAAATACATTGACAATGGTGGTCGGATTCTGCAGTAAAACAAGAAACGAACTAAGTGCATAAAAATAAAATGCTCTGCAACAGCTATGCTGTAGTTCCAGGAAGACATCTAAATCATTGAGCTGGTTGGTAGTGGAAATGTTACAATACTTAATGAATTCTCCTCGGCCCACTGATACAAAGGAGTTTAGCGAAAGGTGCATCAGGTCACACACAATGTGCCCGAAAATGCACGAATGCAGTTCTTTTTATGACAATGTTTGGGGTTTATCAGCACCCAAAAGTAACCGTTTGAAGAATAGTAACAGACCCTGCTTGCAGAGTGAACTGATAGCTGATTTGGAACTGTATCGCAGTTTCTTAACTGGAGAAAGTCCGGCAGATCCCTCCACCCTCTCTTCACAGATAAACCGTCTCTAGAACTGCGAAGCCATGCTAAGTTTAAGAGCTTTCTGAACCAGAGCCCTTTTGTCCGCCTAATTCTGTGTTACACAGGACTGGGTGCATGGAAAATATTTTTATTTTGTCACCTTGAGTTAAAAGCCTTAATTGCTAACCACATTTGTAGCAGTATTTTTCTTCATCCCAAAAGCTAAACAGCGACCTGAATGTCCATTGGGCTCTTTTGTGTACCAGAATTGTTCTGAAACATTACCTCCCTCCACCCCCCGTGGAGCATCTAATACAGCAGTAAACAACTTCATTGGGGGGAGGGGGGGGTAATGGTTTCAAATAAACAGCACGACGGCGGGATGTACGAAATTATCCAAATCTTAGGGCTTTTACATGTATAGACCCGGTTTTGTGCAAGAACCGGAATCTGCTGTTCACGAGTCGACGGAGTTGAAAAGAACTGCAGATTGATGGGTATCTTGTGGACGTCGTGTGGGTTGTTCGTTTGTTGAGAAATCAACTAGTAACGTAAATTCTGGGAAGAAAATTCTAAATTGAGTTTTGAGTGGGAGTTTGCGACAAGTATAATGCCGATTGAGAACAGAATCTGGGAATGATTTTCTTTACAGAATGAATTAATGTGAAAGTACCTTTTTGCAGTATGATTAGCTCACTTTGCTTCTAGTTTGTCTGGAAACTTCAATAGCAAATTCAGGAGAGCTGTTGTGCCGATCGGATGGCGGAGTTTTTCAAGCTGCGGTTTTAATGCGCTTTAAGGGCAGCGCTACATTTTCCGGAATATTTTGTTTTTCTAGGGTGCGGCCGTTTCGTTTGCAATTTAGTACGTCTAAGTAATGTTGCTATATGTTTATTCTGGAATTGAGGATGACTGAAATTTATGGTGCAGCGAGGCTTGTGATTAGCATGATGCTTTATGACTCTTTGACATTTCTGAACAATGGTTAGCACGCGAAAGGCCAAATTATTTCTAATCGATTAGTTTTCTCAAGTAACAAAATGTTGAAATAAATCTTCCCGGGACTTATCTTCCCCTGAAATTAATTTCTGTCCTGGAGAGTGAGATGGGTGTAATTTGTGAGCGGTAACTCATCAAAGCGACAAAACTTATGTAACTCTGCCCAAATTCTAGATACGTAGAATTTTCCGTTTTTTTTCTCAAGGCTGGAGTCATTGTCTTCACTCCCTGCCCTGCCACAGACTCTTCTGTGGCTGAGTCCGTCTTTTTCTGTTTGAGGCTGAACCATTTCGTGTCTCATCTCCTCCTGATCTGAGCTCTCAACCCCACAACTGCTTCCCTCAACAAGGCCCTCTACTGAAACGCTCATCATGTCCTTGTTACCTGAAGTATTAAAGTATTAAAATGCTTCCCTTGCTTGCGTCCTGTTATCTTTCTTTTGCAAACGTAGGGTCTCTCTTCATCTTAGCTTCTAAGTCCTGTTCGAGCATCCTCTGAACTCCATTGGCTCCCCTTCCGTGAAGGCCTCAATCTAAACATTTTCCTTCTCATCAAATCCTACCACCGCTATGGTGCTAAACTCTTTCAACTGATTGAAACATATGAGATCCTGAGGCGTCTTGACATGGAGAATGTGGGAAAGACGTTTTAGAATCTAGAACTAGGGGTCACTATTTTCAAAAGAAGGGGTTGCCCATTTAAAACATGAGAACTTCTTTTCTCAATGGGTCTTGAATCCTTGGAACTCTGCTTCCACTTTTTTTTGTGGAAAGAGACTTTGAATATATTTAAAGCAAATGTAGATTTTTAATATGCAAAGGGTAAAAAGGTTAGACTGGAATGTGCAGTAATCAGGTCAATAATCCTTTATTTTACTAACTGTCACAGGCTTGAGGGGCTGAGTGACTTTCTGATTAATGTGTTCTACATCCTTTTGAGATCTTTGCTCACCTCCGGTTCTGTTTTTTTTTGTGTTCCTGATTTTCATGTGCCCCCAACAGTTATGGCTGTTCCTTCAACCACTGTGGGCTAAGATTTGGAATTGATTCTCTACACACTCCATCTCTCTACTGCTTAGCTTGTAAGGTTTTTGTTTAAACTTAACACTGACCAGGCTTTCAGTCATTTGTTCTATTATATCTGTAAAATCTTGTTTCATGAGATTCTCATGAAGTGCCTTAGAAATACAAGTTGTTGTTAGACTGGAATTTGGGAAATGCAGTTTGATGCAGATGGACTGGAATTGTACTACTAGCTGCACACACGATCACATCACAGTAGACTGCCTACTAAAGATCTCCCTGCTCTGCTTCCTGAACCACTTATTTTAATATTTGTCAGCTGGGGTGACATGGAACTCCATTATGAAAATTCCGCATACATTTACAAATAAAATGCTAGACTGACCGTTGGATGAATCACCTAGGCCGCCTTTTTCGGTTAAGGAATTGGTTTATAATATTACAGTTGTGAACTCCAAGCATGGGGATGTTGCATTATTTAGTTATTAGCATAATTGTCCATCCGGGTCCCATCATGTTGAAGCCACTTCTTGTCATTATGAAAATGGAAGGACCTTTTTTCTCTCTCCTCATTTCTTCCTTTGTCATTCAGTTAGAAAAATTGCATGTGAAATTTCCCAACTCCTGATTTTTACCTCCCCCTATGATTCAATGGTCATATGAATTTTTCAGCATTCCATTATTCTACGCTTAGCAAATTAACACAGAGGATTAAAAAGTGCATTTTGAAAGAAATCATTTGGTTTTCATAATCTCAGCTTGTCTCAAGGCATTTTGCAGCATTAAAGTTGTGAAGTACTTTTGTAGGTTAGTCATCTTGGGGAGTGTAATGTAGGAATCAGAGCAACTGATTTCTGTGCAGCAACACCCTACAAACGGCAATAAATTGATGACCAGATAATCTCTCATTTGTTGAGGATAAAGATTGGTCAGGACATTGAGAATAAATCCTTGCACTTTGAAATAGCCCTGTATAATAGAGTCATAGAGATGTACAGTACGGAAACAGACCCATTGGTCCAAATCGTCCATGCCAACCAGATATCCTAAGTTAATCTAGTCCCATGTGGTAGCATTTGGCCCAAATCTCTCTCAACCTTGCCTATTCATATACCCATCCAGGTGCCTTTCAAATGTTGTAATTGTACCAAATTGTGACAAAGTTGCCCCTTTGGCTCCTTTTAAATCTTTCCCTTTTCACCATAAACCTATGCCCTCTTGTTTTGGACTCTCCTACCCTGGGAAAAGACCTTGACTATTCACTCTATCCATGCGCCTCATGACCTTATAAGCCTCTATAAGGTCACCCCTCAGCCTCTGATGCTCCAAGGAAAATAACCCTGGCCTATTCAGCATCTTTGTACAGCTCAAACCCTCTAACCCTGGCAATATCCTTGTAAATATTTTGTGAACCTTTTCCAGTTTCACAACATCCTTCCTATAGCTGGGAAATCAGAACTGAGGGCAGTATTCTAAAAGTGGCCTCACTAATGTCCTGTACAGCTGCAACATGATCTCCCAACTCCTTTATTCAGTGCACCAAATGCCTTCTTCACGAACCTGTCTGCCTGCGACATCATTTTCAAGGAAATTTTTTAATGTTCATTTAAGGTGGTAAATGGGTCTTTGGTTTGTTAGCTCTGGGACTTTACGAGTCTCTATATCACATTGAAGTTTCAGCCTGTACTGTATTTGAGTTTCCGAAAAGGGTTGCAGTTACTATCTCAGTAACTGCTATCTATGAATCAAAATAATACACTGCTGCATTTTGTGGTGAGAACTGTGACAGTTTGTTTTCCAGATATTTAGTTGCAAGAACTTTCCCTGTTGGACAAGCTGTGTGACAAATCTGAGCTGGTGAACTGGTTGTGATGGTGGTGAACTCGAGCTGGATGTTTTTTCAGTACATGTTGTTAAAGACTAGCATGGACTTGAAATATTAGTTGTAAAACAGAAAGTAATCATGATGTGGACATGCTGGTGTTGGATTGGGGTGGACAAGGTCAAAAATCACACGACACCAGCTTATAGTCCAACAGGTTTATTTGAAAACGCATGCTTTCAGAACTCAGCACCTTCGTCGTGCCTAGTTTGAGAGAAAGGATATAAGACAAAGAAGCTATAAGCAGAAAGGTTAAAAACCCTAAAACTGGCTGTCTCTTGTTGAAACTTTAATCAGTTCGGAAAGAGACTACTGATTG